TAAGAGAAAAAGCCGCGTTTGACCCACGGGGATCTTTTGTCTGGCTTATGGCCTTCTCAGAGTACGTTTACGACCTGGGTAGTAAAAACCCGAGGTAGCGTTTCTAGCCCCATGAGTCACTTGGTACGTGCTAACGCTGCGTGGTGGCGCTGTGTAGTAAATGGGCAGAGGGATTGGAAAGAATCAACGGGAAGATCAATGAATGTCTATTTGGTCGATTTGTCGGATCATTTAAAATCATTGTAGCGATCCTGGTGTTTGAAGATACCGAGGGTGAGGTGATTTTAAGCAAGCTTTGGCACTTTACGAGTTGTATCTGTACTTTTATGAATCGTAAATTTTTGTGGTTAGTAGTGAATGTGATTTTATGAAGTATAATAAATACGGTAAAAAGTATAACGAATGCGATGAGTATAATTAATTAAAAAATGAAAAGTGTATCGAATGTTTAATTTTGAACATTGATTGGAGGTTATGGCTGTGTTCATTCGCTTCATGGATAAAGTTATTAATCGCTATGTAAAGTGCACATAGTGAGAGTTGTCAGTGTATAATACACGTTTCTGAAAATAAATAATTAGATTTTTAAATTAAATAATTAAAATAAATGAAAGGATTGAGAATTAAATAATTGAATATTGAATAATAATTAAAATGGAGTAATTAAAATATAGATATTAAAATAAATTTAGGTATAAATGATTTTATCCTATTAGGATTACGAACTTTTATTTATTTTAATTTAATTAAATATTGCTAAATGTATACATGTCTATACATTTTCATTGATTATACGAAGCTCATGTTTTATACTGTATTTAATTATTAAATGCTTCACTACAAGAGTACTAATTAAGCACCGTGTGTAATTATTAGTGCATTATATTGATTCATTCATTATACCAAAACTTGTGTTCCCAATTTGATTTTAAAATATGAGTTATCATAATTTAACATAAGTAATTTTGAGGTAGTATCTCGGAGTAAAATCTTAATTACGTTTGCGAAATTTCATTTATTTTCAGACATCTTTGCACTGCAAATTGTACATATGTATAAATTCGGTATCATTTATACAAAACGAATCTTCCGGATTTAATTTTTTCGAATTAATCGAATTTATTTTATTCACTAATATATATATGTATATATATTTCGAATAATATTTTGCATTTGTTATTATATTTATTAAATAAATTGAATTATCAAATATTTCAGTGGAAGAGCATTTATTAAGAAATATTTACAATTACGAATGCGTTATAGTGATTCGTTTTTTTTACAACAAAAAATTGTTTATAGTTTGATTTTAAAATGAACAATATTTTCAATATAAAATGGAATGGAAGGGACAATGGACGAAATATTTTGACTTGCACTGAGTTTATATAGTAAACATTGCACTGTAGAAATATTCATTAAACAATTTTTATAATTATTTCTGCATTATAGTGATTCATTTATTTTGCAAAACTTGACGGTCACAATTTAATCTTTAAATAAATAAAATATAGAATATATAGTGAATGAAAGATTTATTTGACACATAGACAATTACTATAAAAACACTTATGAAGCTACCTTGAGAATCATCAATGCATTATAGTGATCCACTCGTTTTGCAAAAATTGCTTTCGTGGTTTGATTGTAAAATAAATAAAATGTCGAATATAAAACGAATAAAGGATGAAATATTTGGCTCCTAGACAATTTAAATAGCAAAAATTACTAAAGAAACACTTATTAGGCAATCCTTGGAATTATTAATGCACTATAGTGATCCACACATTTTGCAAAATATTGTTTTCGTGGTTTGATTTTAAAATATATAAAATGTCAAATATGAAACGAATGAAGGATGGAATATTTCACACGTAGACAATTTAAATAGCAAAAATTACTATAAAAGCACTTATGAAGCTACCTTGAGAATCATCAATGCATTATAGTGATCCACTCGTTTTGCAAAAATTGCTTTCGTGGTTTGATTGTAAAATAAATAAAATGTCGAATATAAAACGAATAAAGGATGAAATATTTGGCTCCTAGACAATTTAAATAGCAAAAATTACTAAAGAAACACTTATTAGGCAATCCTTGGAATTATTAATGCACTATAGTGATCCACACATTTTGCAAAATATTGTTTTCGTGGTTTGATTTTAAAATATATAAAATGTCAAATATGAAACGAATGAAGGATGGAATATTTCACACGTAGACAATTTAAATAGCAAAAATCACCATAAGGGCATTTATCAAGCAACCCTTAGAATCATTAATGCATTATAGTGATCCACTCATTTTGTAAAAAATTGTTTTCGTGATTTGATTTTAAAATAAATAAAATATCGAATAGAAAACAAATAAAGAATGGAATATTTAACTCCTAGAGAATTTGTATAACAAAAATCACTATAAGAGCACTTATCAAGCAACCCTTAGAATCATTAATGCATTATAGTGATCCACTCATTTTGCAAAAAATTGTTTTCGTGATTTGATTTTAAAATAATTAAAATATCGAATATAAAACAAATAAAGAATGGAATATTTCACACGTAGACAATTTAAATAGCAAAAATCACTATAAAGGCATTTATCAAGCAACCCTTAGAATCATTAATGCATTATAGTGATCCACTCATTTTGCAAAAAATTGCTTTCGTGGTCTGCTTTTAAAATAAATAAAATGTCGAATATAGAACGAATATAAAGGATGAAATATTTGACTTGTAGTGTTCTCATAGTTGAAACGATAAAGGTCGGTTGGTAGTCAAGAGAGGTTTTGTACCCCTTGGAGCAGCCGCCGCGCCGTCACGGCGCCCTGTTCTGAATCATGCTCTGAGGGTTCTGGCTCTGGCAAACCTCGTGCTCAAGAATCGATAATAGTGAAATCAACTTCACCGGAAGTCCTTGACCCAGGTCGCGAGTTCAATTGCAGCTGCATCGATATCCCATTAGGCGTTTAAAGGCTGCTGACAAGAATTTCGCGGCAAAAAGTCTTTATTGGCATGTAAATCGACTTCCTGAAATTGCAAATAAATGTGCATAATCAGGAGGCGCCCTGTCTGTGAAGCTATAATTCTTTTACGCGGATATGTGACACGTCGTTACGCTTTGAAATATCTGCTCGTTAAGCACACTGGTTAATCCCTGTTCCTGCATTGTCATATTTTACTTTCAGAATATGATTATCTAGATAAAAAAAATAATGGCTCCAAACAGAAACTAAAATATTTTAGATTTCGTGTTTGCGAATAAAATGAGAGATCGTTTTCATATATTAGCGTAATTCGAGGAATTTTAACCATTAAAATCCCTAGAATAACGAGAATTTACTAGCAATGCGTTATTCGCGAGAATGATCTAATAATGAGTATAATTATTACCAATAAAGACTATACAATCCACTGAAACGATATTTATAATGAAACAAACCAATATTTGCTGCTCCATTCATATACAACAAACCTTTTGTCATTTCCATTTGAATTTAAATTCCTATTTAGAATTTTTAAGCTTCTTATTGGGATTAAGACAATATTTATTTAATATTGATAATAATAAATTATATTTATTTAACGTTAATAATAAAATCAGAAGTATTTATGACATAATGTAACAAATGCAATACGTGTATAACAATAAAAACAATATGTATGCACATATAAATATGATCATAAATTCTTAGAGCTATTTAATTTGTAACTTTAATGTAAAAATTCTGGTCCCCAATATTAAAATGGGGTGAACTAAATTAACTCATTTACATCATTCGAAAAAGGGGAAAAATTGGTTCATATCACCAAAATTTTGTTTATTGAATAAAGATAGAAATATTTCAAAGCGATAAGAAAGCGAAAAGCAAGATGGCGTTACACAAAGATTCATTAATTTAAGAATTAATTAAATTCATAATTAAAGAATTAATTTTATTTAGTTCAATAAAGTTATACATTGAAAATAATTTGAAAAATTAAATTTAATAATTTCACACTTGAAATGGTAAATACATATAGATACACAGTAGTTATCACACTGATAAAATGAATCTTCCCTCCTTTTCGTTATAAACAAACTATACAACGTTTTCGAGCTTTCTGTAATGTTATTGTCAGATGATATATTGGAAAAATTAAGGAAAAATACTTTAATCCGTTTGCAATCTTCACTTTCCACTAATTGCGCACTAGTGATTTGCTCTTATGCACAAGAAACTAGCGCTAGTGACTTGTTCTTAAGCACAAGAAACTAGCGCTAGTGACTTGTTCTCGCGCACAAGAAACTAGCGCTAGTGACTTGTTCTTATGCACAAGAAACTAGCGCTAATGACTTGTTCTTATGCACAAGAAACTAGTGCTAGTGACTTGTTCTCGCGTACAAGAAACTAGCGCGCATATCTGCGCTTTGGTGATAATAACCAGAAAAATTCCGCGCAAATATTCACTTACGATGCAAGTTAGTTAAATACTAAAATACAAAAGAAAAGTAGTTTTAATCCTTTGCTCTCGGCGATTTTTTCGTTACATGAAAATAGTAATTCGGAGACTTTCTGCCATAAAGTCGACGATATTTCTAAAACGGTAAATAAGAAATCGTATGCAAATTAAACATATCTGCGCTTTGGTGATAATAACCAGAAAAATTCCGCGCAAATATTCGCTTACGATGCAAGTTAGTTAAATACTAAAATACAAAAGAAAAGTAGTTTTAATCCTTTGCACTTGGCGATTTTTTCGTTACATGAAAATAGTAATTCGAAGACTTTTTGCCATAAAGTCGACGATATTTCTAAAACGGTAAATAAGAAATCGTATGCAAATTAAGACGTAGAATTATTATACTTCGATATTCCACGTATCGTTGGGTAATTGTCTAATCTTTAAAATCAGATTAAATGGCGACTGAGATGCGCCTCTCGAGTGCAAAGGGTTAATAATTGCATAAGGTTATTTCGAGTAAACTAATAACACAAAATTGTTTGTTTGTCCGAACAGAGGGTGCCGGGTGGTGGAGGCGTGATTGTGGGGGGTGGCAGTAATTCGGCCACCCCCCAAGGTGCACAGCAGGGTAGCAACCTGGTATACCGCGTGGTGAGCTCCAGACATCCTGGCAGCGGCCATCATCCGCATGTGAAAAAGTCGGACAGTTCTCAGCAAACGGACAACTCGGCGTTCAAACACCAGCAACAGCCAGGCTTGAACAGCTCGACGAACTGCAGCTCAAACAGCCAGCAATGGAAAAAATATATCGAGGCTGGAGCTGCGAGGGATCGGGAGAGAGACAAGGAGGGCGCACCTCCGAGTCCTAGTCCCTCCAGGCGATCCCAGGTAAACATTTATACAGTTTTGTCCCTTTGTATGTCGTTGCTGTGCCGGACAATATTGATTTTTCAGATAGCCAGTTTTACCTAGCTTAATGTGCAGTCTTTGAATTTTATCTTTGCACCGAACCTGTAATCCCACGGTCTCTCCTCCATGTAACTTCGGAATTGTCTAGATTGCTCGGATCTTCCATATTCTGATAAACTGACTGTATAAATTTCTTACAGGATAAACATCGGAAACAGGCCATGGCTGAATATGCGAACGGAGAAAAACCGCAGAAAGTTTCATCGGGAACATCGACGAGCGGCAGCAGTAAAGTTAGAGGCGTACCTCAGAGTTTTGGATATGTTAAGAGACACAGCGCTGGTACTAGTCCCAGTCCCAACGGAGTTCAAAATGGTGGCAAAGATTCTACGCGAACTGCCCAAGTTAGCGCAGTTCCAAGAACAAAGGTTAGCTAACTTCGCTTCCCGTTGAGTTTATATTAGCGAATTACAAAGTTTCTTCTACGCTTCATACAGTGATATTAGATGAACCTTAACTAATAGGTTATCCGCTTTAATTTATCGTTGCAGGTTAAAGTGTCTGGCGGTACTCAAACCTGTACCACTGAACTTCAGGCTAACTCTTCCTCATCCAATCAGGGACATCATTATAAGAGTTACAGCCTCACGGGCCCGAGTGCTAGCCAACTTTCTCAATCAGTGCGAGATCGCCTTATGCTCGGATCGCAGAGTTTACCAAAACCTGGTAGCCCAGAATTCACGGCCCTATTCGCATCCGCGCACCATCGTGAAAGAGGATCCGGTGCAGGACCAACCACCACTTCCTTCTCGCCACGGGTGCTCAAACCTTCGGATGGAAGTCTCAGTGATACGTGCAGCAATTACGCTGCACCTGATCTTCAAGGATATTATACTCCCAATAGTCCCTATACTACATCCTGGATGAGACATAGCAATACATACACACCAAGTGGACGTTCCCAAGGTAAGTCTTCGGTTACTCCTAATTTGTTTCACGTTTAGTCCAGTTTCAAGATTTATCTTCTTATTAGAAAGGTCCTTGAGCGAATAACAGTTGCTATGATAAGTCTTGATTGCTAGAAGAAACGTTTATTTATGTTGTTCCTTTTATTAATTCTATAAAGTATATTTTATGGTCTGCATACTAAACAGTTTTCGAAATTTTCTAATTTCAGGAATGGGATTATGCGAGGCTGACAGTGTAGAGTCATTAGGATCACATAGAGCCAGTTTAACTCACGCTCGCTTGTTAATACATCAAAGAGATTCTACAGGATCCCCGGCTCCACCGAGGCTGAACAGAAGCAATTCCATTAGGTAAATTTATAAAATAGTCTATTTACTGTGCATTAGTTTTCACAATTTTATACGAAATTTTTAGAAGTCATTTGCATACATCCATATGTATAGATGCATGCCTAGAGGATGCAAATTTTTCACCACATTTTTTAAAACGATCAGTTTCAGCTTTTTCTCTGATTCTTTTTATAATTAACCACTCTATGAGAGCAATTGCCCGTTTACGGTGAAATAATACAGATCATTTGATACCGTTCTAGCCATCTGCGGGACAGGACATTCCCAAGGTAGTGCGAAAATCTAGAATACACATTCGTCGAGCCTGTTTTCCATGCATAAGTATTGAAAGAACAAAACCTTCCAGGGTTCTATGCCCTACACGTACACACGAGTGACAATTATACGGCACCAACAACACACGTGTCCATGTGCATTTACTTACGTCGAGTTTTACATTTGTATCATCCATCTCGATTGTAATTTAGTTATCATTTGGTTAAGGCGATTCCAATTCTTTCCGTACTTTGTATTTATGCTTATTCGTACGCATGTTGAAGCTTATCTACGACTCCTCTGTTGTACAAGGAAAGGAATCCTTTCACGAGCATGTAAGACTGCGAGACTTTGTAAAATAAACACACCTTTGATGTCGATTGTGATAAGTAGATTATACGTTGCAAATGTATGTAACACACTTGCCGTGTACAGTGAGTCAAAGTTTCGTGTAACGTGATTTCTCTCGAGATACTTTTTCGCGAAACTACGTATTTTCAACGTTTATTTGATCTCTTTCCTTTCCCTGTACTCTCGCAAAACCTTACGAGTGTATACACGATCGAGAAGCGGCACTCGACATTCAGACGGAAGGAAATTTATCTTTTAATTAGGAGCCTCTTCCAGATCGACTAATTACGTATACACTCGCTGGATAGACAGACGTGTTCCCATCGACGTCCTAAGTAAACCGAACACCAGATGCGAAGAATTCTTGTCCGACGAGTCGATCGATCTATGTGGAATTTTTCCGTTGAATAAACTTAACGAGCTCTCTCGTGATTCGAGCCATGGCAGTTTCTTCGCATCTGAAAATTTCCATTTCGAGGGCACACGTACACACGCAACTGTATTCAGGAGTATATGTTAACTCTGCTCTTTTCATTAATTTCATTTCTGGATGCAACCAAACGTAACGAGCTATAAGTACATATTCAATAATCGTGCTTTCTATTATTTGGAGATAAATACTTAGGTATCTCGCGTACGAAACATATACAAACACTCTCTCTTTCTCTCTCTCTATCTCTCCTTCTCTCTCTCTATCTAAAGTTAATGAAACTTTGTAAATTATTTAAAAGTTTTCTCTATTTTAAACATCGATATTAGACATATTTATCGACGCACGTCGCGCGCTTCTTGCTCTTCGAAGATGTAAACAGTTAGGTAATCGTTATCGTGCAATAAAATATCGCGTTATCGTTGTAAATAACCAATAATTATCACTGGTAGATTATAGTAATAAATTTAATTATAGAACTGTTTACTGATCTTCGAAGGCGTTTATGATATAATATTGTAACATATTCTATCAGCGATTCAGATGGTTAAACCTCTGTTTTTGCAGGTCCACGAAAAGCGAGAAAATGTATCCGTCAATGTTAGCTAGAGGAAGTGGAGCATCATCCTCTGTCGGCGAGGAAGTCGGTGTCGGAATAGGAATGGGCGTAGGCGTTGAACCATATTACAGTGTTCCTGTAGGATCTACTGGGTGTACAGGACAACACTGGTCTCAGCCGACATCTCCAACGCCTACACACACTTCTCGACAGCCACCTAATCTCTATCAACACGTGCATAAGGATGATGATAGTGAGTTTCCGTTTAAAGCTGTCGTTACTTTTTCAATACAATTTTCACCAAAGCCCTGACAAATCTCTGTAACCCAGCAGTAAATTAATAACAGACTGAAATTAGGAGAATATGACAAAGATATGTAATTTAAAAGTGTATTATTTTAAGCATATAGCTTTATATATTGCAATTTCACCTTTTATTTTTCTTTTTTTTTTCTTTTATTGAAAATGAATGGAAAAAGAAGAAATTTCTCTTCTTTTGCCTTCAGTCCATGGTTCTTCTGTATCTTTGGTATCGACAGCAAGCAGTCTCTACAGTTCAGCTGAGGAGAAACAGGCACACGAGCTGAGAAAATTACGACGGGAACTCGTGGACGCTCAAGAGAAGGTCCACTCGTTGACTAGCCAGCTGTCGACAAATGTGAGTACACGTTATGTCGATTACTATAGCGATAAAGCATGCCTGACGTGTATTAACTACCTGCTACTGTTCGCTCCAAGTCACTCGTATTTCGTAATTTGTGTATCGGCCTATTAAATTGACGTCATCGCGATACACAATTGCCTGAAGCGGATCTGCTCTGTCCTGAAACGAGATACGTCAGCTTATTCTTATTGTGCCAAGCGAATTGGTGCAAATGATTAATCATAATTAATCGAACGAGACAACAGTTAGCGAACTTACCAGTTTATAGTTGCGGTTTGCTTTAACGAGCTAGATCCGACCAAACCTGTTGGAACAATTTTCTTCATAGAACACCCATATATCATCCTTGCAACAGGCTATATACATTAGCAAAGTCCATTACCGTTTTATACTTGCTAAATGTATTTACCTGATTTTTAATGCGAGAAGTGATGAATATAACGTGGAAGACATAGAGAAATTAAGCGTTTCAAAAGGACACTTTAAGCCCATTAGTGTCATGCTTATAAATAGTCAAACAAATATAACTACGTACAAGGCGTTTCATTCATTTTTGAAATATTTTTATTTTTATTCATATTAAAGAGGAATATTTAAGGAACAAGTTACTTAACATTTATTGCTACCCAAAATTTGAGGTATTTTTCTAATATCTAGATATTTCTACAAAAAGAATTTATATTTGTTTATTGGTATATAGTGTATAGGGAAATAATAGGGATAAAATGGATTCGTTACTAGTAACATTTAAAATTAGTCCATTTATTTCAGAAACAAAAAGATACATTTTTATACAATTATAATTTTTATACCATAAATATAGTATTAAAGCTAATTCTCATTTGTTGAAAATTAATATTCATTCAAAACAAGTACAGATTTTATAAACAATTGTATGACAAATTTATTGCATTTCACAAAATTGAAAAAAAAATAATTAAAATTCCTCCTTTAACAATTATTATTTATGATTCTCAATGATAGAAATATTTTATTCGTGGAAACCATATAAAACCTTGCATAATTTGTGTGAATAATTATCTTCATCACCAAATCAGGTTATATGGAAATACGTACGATTTTAATACACGGATTCTATTAATTCGCACAATCTACTTTTTATACGAATATAAATATATTATTAATTAAGAAAATTTGAATCAATAACAGAATCAGTAATCGCTAACTAATTAGTTTTAACCGATTCTATTAGTTTTGGAAAGCGATGAAACATTAAAATAATTTCAAATTACCCGCGTTTATTCCACAACAACGGAAGCGTCCGTAGAGCTGAATGGCTGTTTAGCAGGGAAGATCAGTGGCCTCAACCAATCGGACGCAAAGCGGCCACTTGCGGGCATCTTGGATCACCGTAGCGTGGATCGGTAGTCAGTTTACATTCAGTTTGTGCCGAGACGCGCTACTTTGAACGTCGTATGTTACTTTGTACGCGTTGTGCATACAAATAAACGCTTGATGTGCTTGTTCATTGGAAGTCAACGATCAAAGGCCGTGGTTCGAAATTGTGTGACGAAGTGTAAGCGTATTATTACCGCGAAAAATTGATTCGTGTTCTGTCAACGTTTTCGATCAGTGATCAATCGGCGTCCGGATCGACGGCTGGGATCGATGTGCGCGAAACGTAATCCTCCAACGCGGCGAAGTGGTTGAAAGAAAAGTAATCGAAATGAAGCCGTTTGTCTGGTTTGATTTTTACCAATGTAAGCGGTGTGTCGATAATCTTCCGTCGATAAGTTATTGACCACCGATAATTCTTTTCATAAACATTTTATCGACTATGCCTTACGCTCGTGACACTTCCTAGGTTTGTTTACCATTCTCTCCCTTATCGTCTCTCTGCCGAAATTGAGGTTAGGTAAAAGAATAGTTTACATTTCGTGGCGTGATGTTCGTGAAAAAAAAAAATAGAACGATCAGGTGATTGCTTATAATTCTCCAAATAGCTTATAATTCACAGCTCAGGGAAAGATTAATTATATCGTTGTTTCTTTGAACACCTTTGAAACGGTAAGTTTAGCGCAGTAAATTACCCAACCGAGATAGTAAAAACTTGCACAGGTAAAAAGTTGTTAGGATACGATAATTTAGACTATGAATGCAGCTTGAAAAAGAAAGCTGTTTCGAATCAAGGTTCATCGGGAAGTAATGGGATAGACATGCTGAGATACAGATTACGAGCAAATCGGTCGGCTCATTTGAGCGTGATCTTCGCTCGTCGTTATCGACCGCATAATTGCGATACAATCTCGAGATACATCGAGAATCGATCGACTTCCGAAATAAACCGCGCGCATCTGCATACAAATTTGTATGCTTCGTTATTAGATTTACGAGATACGGCTTTGCATTATGTTGTACTTCCGATTTCGATTTTTAAGTATGAAAATAGGCCACTCATAGCAAGTCAGAGGTTTAAATAAAAATTGCAGAATTTGAAATTAAGGTTATACGGTAACATCGGAAAAAAGGAAAAATTATGAACACGGTATTACGAACACGTAAATCGTTTTTACTTGAGCAGTTAATGCTATCGGAATTATAAAAGGTTCGGTAATTACAAAGATTGGAAACCATTAACTAGAAATTAAAAAAACATTAATAATGACTTAAGCACGTCAATCCAGTTGAGGCTGAAGAAGCGTTATTTCAACCTACAAGCTGTCTTGCTAGGGATATTGCTGAAAATGTGCAAACTTTGCAATTTTTTCATATATTATCATAAACAAATATCAGTAAAAAATGCAATACTATAATTATAGAATTATTTCTATTTTTTTATTTTTTTATATATATATTTTGATTTCTTATAATTTACAAAAATTTATATTTCATTTTTTACCTAAAATATTCTTAACAATACGTTTGGTACAGTTATATACTGATTTGCATAAGTTTGTGTATTGATTTTTATGGTTTTATATATCAGTAATTTATTGTTTACATTATAACCTCAAAATTCAAATTTATTCTAAAGCCGTTATTATTTATTCAAAAAGTTAACTAATTACGTTATTAAATGTCTACTTCCACACAAACTCAATCAAAAATTAGTTATTAACTAATTTTTGTACTTTGTCACGATTCTACTGACAATAGGAAGCAATGTTACATAAGGCAATATCATTGTATGAGTATTATACATTACTCCTTTCCTTTCCTTTTTTCCCTCCATTTTTAAGTTTCTATAGCTACCTTATCTCATTTATCTGACAACCGTATTTATCTCCGTGATAAACACTTTTTTCGTTTCTACGTCTATAGCATATTTTGAATTCTGATTCAATTGAAATTACATACATTACGATATATATAACACTAATATAATAAAGTCACTATATAATGCATGCTATAAATTAATACAAATATATTTATTTTATTACTTATATATAATACTAATATAACGTATCATTACACTATTTCATCGATATAATATATTATAGTATAATTTATTATACTATATTAGCGTAATATATCAGTATTAGTGTGTATCAAAAATTCTAAGGGCAGAATATCGAATTAAATTTACATAAATGCCTAAAACGAAGAAAGAAGCTGAAACTCTTTATCACACCCGGTTCGTTTATGCCCTCATATCAATATAGAACTAGTTGAGCACAATAATCACGCACGGCTACGAGCCGATACAAACAAACGATTTACATTAGTCTGGTTGCTCGGACACACTACGCACCCTTTCGACGCTGCGCACAGAATACATAAAAATACGAGGTGCGCGCATCGGTAGCACGATTGGCCGGTAGCGGGCAGCCCATAAGCGGGAAACGTCTCGTAGACAAATATAAAATTTTCGATATAGCGATCGTATTGCGGCCGGATCGACAGACGCAAAGGGGCCACATATATGGTAGGAAAGAAGCACGTCGTGGATCGTTCCTAGGAAACGAGGGATCTAACCCGAGTCGTGATCATTTTTGCGCTACTATATGCGACGAGTATCCGACATTCCCGGCGCGTACACCTTCGTCCACTATCTTCCTACCTTATTTCTCCTCTTTGTCTTTTTCTCGCGTTTCCGTTTCTGTCATCGACTACCGCGGAGCCAGGTCGACCGTTCGTCACTCGCGCGACCGGTCGACGATACACCGAGAAACTACGATGATTCTTACCAACAGGGAAAGAAGAACTCTGTCGACTCGGAACTCGCGATCTTTCCTTCCACCATTTCCATTTATAGTTATTGACGCCTTGTATGGCCCTTGTTATGCCGATCGCTGCACCAATCACCGGGATAAGCTTTATTCGGTGACGTATAGATGTCAGCAGACGCCGCCCGGCTGTCGAACGTGATCGCTGCAATTATTCATTTAGTAGAGCGAACTGGTTTCGCGTTATGTTTAGGCCAGCGGTTAAGAATTCTGTTTTAAACGTGTACTTCGCGAGTGTCGTGATATGTCGGTCACTGATTAGGAATTGTGGCATTCATCGGGACAGTGATCGGAAGCAATTCTAGAAACCTAAATTTAAGTAGTTCGGAACTCGGAATTAAACGCTTACTTGGTTAGTCGGTAAATGTAGGTTATGTTAAAGTAACGGAAATAATTGTGCTGAAATAACGTCAGTGTTTCTAGCTTTGGAATTTTAAGGCTTAGAATTGATTAGGCATTAAACATTTTAGTATGTTTGCGTGTTTCTGGACGATGCCCATGGTGATACGAGTGTAATACGTGTTCCGTTCTACAAAACATATCACGCACAGACTGTTTATTAACGAAGAGATAGTTATCATATATCTATCGTTTCTAATATACTGTTAAACGATCAGATATCTCCTAATATCAAACTTTTTTAATCACAAACTTTTCGTGAAAGCGTGTACTTTTAAATTAACTTTCTTGAAATTTTGCACGAAATTCAATTATTTCTGTGTCGATTTCTCACGTGAAAAATAAACGAAATTTTCGTTATTTGGGAAAGTTCGCGTATAGAGATTTTGATGAGAATAAAATTGCGCG